TTTAACGAGAGAAATTTATGTATTACTGAAAAATTATTACACCAGGGTTTTCGATATCACAAACTAGTCAAAACATTTACTAAATTTTACCATCGGTATAAGGACATCATTCGTAAATATAGCTCAACATGCAGACTTCTTATACGTTCAGGTATTTCACATCCAATTTTTTATGGAAATATTCTTTATAAAGCACAAAAATGTCAGTATTCACCTCTGAAGCTAACAAAACCTTTAAATAGACTTATTAAGAAGGGATATAGTTACGATACTGTTGTCAGGTCATTAAAGATTGCATATTTTGGCGTTAATATTGATTCACTTATAGGGTCTTTGCATCGGCACTAAACACAATTATTTAAAAACCAGTTGTTGGCATGACACGGGTTATGTTCTTCTCATATATGTTATGATGGTATGATACTAAACCCCTAACGGGAAGGATTGTGCCTGATATTCATATGATGAAGACATAATCTTTCAATCAGTTTAATTGAAGTCTGGAGCTGGCATGTCAGTTAACTGCTAGTAGTCTGTTGTTATTTATGTATTATTGTCATTTTGTTTATTTTCTTTGGTTACATCTTCTGACATCAGACTCGGACTTCTCTTGAACTGAATTTTAATGTGCGTATTGTTATGCGTTTACTTTTCTACATTGGCTAGAGGTATAGGGGGAGGGTTGAGATCTCATAAACATGTTTAACCCCGCCGCATTTTTGCGCCTGTCCCAAGTCAGGAGCCTCTAACCTTTGTTAGTCTTGTATTATTTTTAATTTTAGTTTTTTGTGTACAATTTGGAGTTTAGTATGGCGTTCATTATCACTGAACTAGTATATATATTTGTTTAGGGGCCAGCTGAAGGACGCCTCCGGGTGCGGGAATTTCTCGCTGCATTGAAGACCTGTTGGTGACCTTCTGCTGTTGTCTGTTCTATGGTCGGGTTGTTGTCTCTTTGACACATTCCCCATTTCCATTCTCAATTTTATTTGCATTGTACAACTCAAATTAAAAAAAGTACCATATCAAATAGCAAACCATTCTTTAGTGATGAAGCTGAGAATTAAAAAAAGAAGAAAGGGACTTCCCGACTATATATAGCTTATACGAAATAAATCATTTCTAAAAAGGTTCCATCAAAATATCGAAAAGTTCCGTTATACCGAAGCCGAGCTACGGAAATTATGGACGGACAAACAAACAAATGGACTCACCAGAAATCATGATGGAGTGAGTTAGAGTATAGTTACGTTATTTTTTGTATTCTTGTCTTCATTTTTTCTTATGTGCTTTGTCCATATGCCAAGTCAAGAATTTGACAGTTGTTTCCATTCGTTTGATGTGTTTGAGCTTTTGATTTTGCCATTTGATAAGGGACTTACCGTTTTGAATTTTCCTTGAAGTTTGGTATTTTTGTTATTTTACTTTTTACAAACAATCCATAAAGTTCTAATATAGTTCTGATGTGTTGCAGATTGCTATAACAATCCAGTGAAAAAAACCTACATTCCGAGAAAAAATAAGATGCAGAAACAACATTTTTTGTATAAATGATTACTCTTATAAGGGAAAAAGTTGTCCGGTAAAAATATTAACAAATAGACGAAACAGATTGCAAAAGAAACATCCGATATCTTTTAAGTAAATAATACCACAAAATTATTTAAGCCTGCCTCATACCTATATTCTCTCAGGGTGACGTTTCCGTTTCTGTAAAGGAAGAAATGACTGCAAATGGAGTATTTATATCAGTTGATACGATATTCCAGAACTTGCGTTTCCTATCATGGTTTCCGTGATAGAGGGTTTTACTGCTTTTGCATCAAGGGTTCTAATTATAACGTTGAAGTCATGCCACCTTAAGTTTAACGGACTATATCAGAATTTGTTTGAACGTTATGACATATCTGTTATATCCTCAGTTTTTTTTATAGTATTCGATTATCTTATAAATGGTGCAAAACGAGCACCGATTAGATGTCTTAAAGTGCTCAGATTTTTATAACCAATTGTTCCGAGTGGACTAGTTGTTCGGATGAAGAGCGTTAATATCGAGTTGCCTATCATTTAATGTAATCTATAAATGGTTATTGATTGCAAAGAGAGACAAAAGATACCAGAGTGACATTATATTCAAACTCATAAGTGAAAAATAAATTGACAACGCCATGGCCAAAAAAGTAAACAAACCAACAGACAAACAATAGTACACAAAAAACAACATAGAAAAATAAAGACTGATTAACACGAACCCCACCATAAAGTGGGGGTGATCTCTGGTGCTCCGAAAGGGTGGGCAGATCCTGCTTCAATTATATGACATGTCTTTGTTGTTATGTGACTAATGCTTTTGTTTTTGTAGTTGTATTTTGTAATATTTTTTTTATATTGATAATGCTATCTATTCCGTTAACATGGCTTGTGTTTTCTTTTTCCTTGTTAGTTTTTCCTTCATAATTTCTCGTTTGGTCAAATTTTGTAGTCAAATAAATTTTATTAATTTGGTCATGTCGTAGGAATAAACAAACGGCATTAACCATCCATTATTGTATGATGTCTAATTTTCATCCTGGCAAAGTGCATCATCTTTCTCTATATACCAACATAACATTAACAGCATAAATGCAAATATGGCCCAACCAGAACAGACAAAACCATTAAGGTCAACTTTGCGTCATCAATGTTGTAGTCAACCATAGTTTAAATCCAATTGCATAATTTATAAATAAAACATATAATTTGAATACAAAATATCATTTTAATAATGCCAGTACCTACTAGGCAATTAGTACGTTAAGGAACTGTAACATGTGTAGTGGAATAACAGCCAAGTTTGTAACACCAAACAATCATGTCACAGTTGCAGATTCCAAACAGTCAAACACGTGTTTATCAAAAACATTTCTTTAGATACTTGAACATTTTGGAGAGTATTTATGATAAGTAGGAAAAAAATAAAAGAAGAGATAGTCCATTAGCGGCCGTACCGTCTGTTCAGTAGTACCTTGTTGGATATTAAACCTAACATATATATGTCCTCAACTTTTACCATTGACAGATAAACTGACAAATAACCACACCATAAAATATAAATAGTCCCGTACGTATACGGAACAGTCAATATTGTTGGATTACTTATCTTCATTGAAAAGGAAATGATATACAAGGGGAAATCGAAAATTCTTAGTCGAATGAATACAGACAAACCATGTCCGAATAGACAAACGACGAAATGACACGAGTCCACACAACACTAAATAGAAAATCCAAAGATTAAGGAACTCAAAACAAAGCAAAACCCGAGGGCTTCTCTAGACTTTTCCTGAAATTATCACATTGAAATCTATGCAATTCTAAAAATCGGTAGATCGGATCAATCTTTTACCTCATTGAATGTCAATTATTCAAACTACCAATTTAAATTGACGTTTTAAAGAAAAGTTTATTACTTTTAATATTACATTTGATAATATCAGCAAATCGACATCATGTTTTCTTATTTGAGGTTAATACACATTGATAATTAGGCAAAATATTTTAAAATAAAAAAAACACTTTGAACTAATAGTAAAAGTATACCTGGGCCCCTTCATATTATCTTAGTTTCTAAATACACCAGAATTTTCGTCTTATCTGTTAATTTACTGGTTGTGACCTATTTCTTTTGTGAATTATTTTACTGATTCTCTTTTCGCATGATAAGTGATCCATGCATATCCGTTTGGAGAACCCCTATTTTTGTTTTCTTTGTTTTTACATTTAAACTAAAACAACAGTAGTATACCTTTTAAGAAGACAAATCAATGTAGCAAACAAAAACTGAGGGTCGGAATTCTATGAATTCAAACAAAAAAATGCGAGATAAGGTGCGTCGACAAGGCTAGTGTCTCTAGATATGAGTACATCACCCGCCAGGCAAATCCACATTCACTTAACATTTCCCAAAACAGATTAACATCGGTAACAAACATTTGTCTCTTAATTTCTAGATTGTGTTTTCAACAAATTATCAAAAATATGTTTTACTATAAAAACTTTTCCAATTTGAAAATATTCCTACGATATTTATCTTTAAAATATTTTGATAATTTTCTTTGATCTTCATTATTTCTCTTTAGCCAGTAATCAACTAAGATAGTTCTTTCTCAAACATTGTTCTATGTGACATTCTATTTTCAAAGCTAGAATTATTGCCCAACTCTTACGTGCTTCGAAAACAGATTTATATTACAAACAAACCAAAGAGGTGATGATTTATTTTATGGAATTTTCATTCTTGTATAGGTTCATTCTTGTCCTCTATTTCGATATGACAACAAAATTATTATACTTCATGTCAAAATACCAGATTTTGATTGGTTAATACGAGGGAGACAATTTACTTTATTATACTTCACGTTAAAATGCCATATTTTGATAGGGTAATACGAGGGTGTTAATTTACTCTATTACCCTTCATGGAGACGCTTGATCAAGTGTGCGCTTTATTAAATACGACTCTATCCTATGGCAAATACTCTATTACCCTTCACGGAGACGCTTGCTCAATTGTGCGCTTTAATAAAGACGGGTGATTGTTATGTACAAGACGACATAGTCTATTACTTTGAATTTGAAATTTAATAGACAGTAATAACAGAACATTTAGTATAATAAATTAAATAACACATATCTGAGAGGGTGATAGAGCAGATTGTTACTCCTCGAAAAGACATTGTCAACCTTGGCTTCGCCTCAGTTCACAATGTTTTCTCGGGGTAACAATCTGCTCTATCACCCTCTCAGCTATGTGTTATTTATATAGTGAACAATTTATTCAAAACAAATTACCCGAAAATTCAAAAAAAGATTTTCGAGTTTCGAATGTACATTATTGCACTTTCACTTTGACACAAGAACCTTGTCTACAAAAATATACAAACATAAACCTCATATGCTACTAATAACACATGGACAGCATGCACTATTGTATATAACTAGGAACAAAATAAAACACTTACATGGTGAGAAGCCGAGTTCTTGTTGTTCCATACATATCTAGGAAAATTCCAACTGGAAAAACTAATGCGTTTCTCACAAGAAACACGACAGCATGAATCAGTTCAAGTTTCTCTTCTTGTTCATCACAAAAATATGTATAATTCAACATTGAATCGTAGTTTGAACCAGGAATTTCGGTTGTTGCTACTGTCGTGGTACGACGACGACATTTCCGTGGTTTAGCGTTCTGTCCGTCGAAATCTGGAATTCCACCAGGTTTCAATAATGAATTTTCCCCTTCTCCATCATGAAATTTGTGTACGTCATCGTCGGGTAATGTAACGTTACAAAGATCTAAAAAGTATTTATTTCGACGTAATGTTGACAAAAACCACGGCCATCCGAATATTAATCCAGTGAACAGTAGACATTCTAACAGAGCCCATACAAATGTAACGTGTCTTTTAGTACAATTCATTTCTATCGTAATTGTCCGACCTGAAATAATACACAATTTTTAATCAATGTCAGTGACAAATAATCTTTGTTTCTAATAATAACAAAATGTTTCTATATATTCATATATGTTTTTTATAACAAACACAATGAACCTGTGACAGGGTAAGTCAAAACTGAATAGTTTACTACAAAATATAATCCTTCAATAGCAATGAGCTTGAGAATTGATACTTCATTGGATATCGGTTTGCGAACAAATCTATATAAGGAGATATCAGTCATTCGGTATTGACTTTTATCATAATAAAACTGATCAATCGAGGTATTTCTTCCATTTAGAACAATTCAAAACAAAAAAATTCCTGGAAGTTTTAAAATATGAACAAGGAAACAATATAGTTGTGTTTAACTTAGCAATGCTGCAATAATGGATTACGTTGGCATTAAAGACTTACTGTTTACTTAAGCTTAAAATATTTAATTCGATATCCATTAGAAACAAATTGTCTAAAGTTACAAAAATCATATTAATGATTATATACAAATAAAGTATATTTTCATACTGTCAACATAAGATTGATTGATTGTTGGCTTCATAATGTCCAGTGCCAGTTATTTCTTGCATGTTCGGGACGAGTCAAAATTCTGGTCCTTACAGATAATTTTTCATACGATGTAAAAATAAACGAAGAATATGTCTAAGGACACGAATGCCCCCGCTCAAGTTTTGCAATTTTCCAAGTTAAAAAGGGGCATAACTCTAAAACGGTAAATGACAACCAACTCTGTCTGCGTGTTGTGGTTCTTAACATTGTGTACGAGTTTCATAAAAATTTGCATGAGGCAAACTAAAGTTAGAGTGCGGAAACGAAAAAGGGACGGACGGAAGGACGGACGGACTGTCAAGGGTAACACATAATGCCCAGGTTGCCTACGGCGGGGCATAATAAATAACATAAAACTATTAATCTATTCAGCTATTTTGTAGTTATAATATATATTGACATAATGATGAAACATTTGTGACTTTGATCAAAATAAAGTGCTATGATATTTGCCTCCTTCTATAGCTAGTTATACCGACATATTTTTTGTACTGCAAGTATAAGAAAATAGTTAATGCTGGGCTCTAAAGAATACGTTATTATAGCATATGAAGCAATTTTGCAAGAGTCCAAATAACCATAGGTCAAGGTACCACCTTCAACAATGAGCAAAACCCATATAAAATACTAGTAGTTAGCTACAAAAGGCTCATGCAGAATTAAAATATCCAACGTCTTGATTAAGGACAAAACAATAAACGAAAAACCGATATCATAGACGTTAATTACTGAATTACAGGCTCATACAGAATGTAGCGGGATTAGATATTTGTCATGCACCTTAACACGAACAATGATGTAACAGCACAACATTAGAACAATATGTAATAATCAGTTGAAAATTGCTTTACTCATCAGATTGACATATGCATAAAAAAACAAGCATTAAGACAAAATACAAAAGTAACGATCTTGGCAGGACACGTTTAATCCACTTGATTTGGAATAAGAAGCATTTTTCTGTCGACAGAGATAAGTTATGAAATACATTTTTACATTTTATTATTTGAAATTATATATGCTGTGTTTTTTTTCAATGGAAAAACTTATAGAACAAGAAAAGCGTCGCTAAATTTTATAGAATGAAAACTAAAACTATCGAGTTGAACCTAGCATCTACACTCTTTAACTTGGATGTTATTTATGTTCTCAAAACTAATACCGTTTCTTTTCGTCTTAAATCATTTTTGTCATAGTGTTGTTCATCTTTCTCCGACTTTGTTTTAATCTTTCTGTTTGATAAAATGAAAACATATTATATCTCTAGTTGAAAATGCAGCCCTTAATTTGTTCATGTCTATAGCATGAATTCTTATATTTTTTCTTCTGATGACGATCAAACATTTAACCTCGGTGTTGCAAAATGAGACTTAAGACATATTCCCATATGTACTCCATCCTAGTCAGTTATTACTCTATATCATATATTTATTGGTTTATTAGAGGGGGGGGTATTTTTTAAGAAAAATGGCGACGATGACTGTTTGTTTCTTATTGAAATTATTCACAACTTTTAAATACTCTAATGGATCAATAGGTTTTTTTTTTTTACCCTATCGATGTATCTTGGTATTTTTATCGCTGGGTTACTGTCTTGTTGAAGTATATCTCACACGAACTTTTAATCAAATATAAAATGCCGAATCCTGAGATTGAAGTTCTCATTCCCTTTGTTCTCTGTATTTCTTTGATTTCTTATTCACATTTTACCATTGTTGTTTATGTATTGTCTAAAATGTATTGATGAAACAGAATCCCAACGACATAAAAATACATTTAGAGGTCAATATACAGTGTTCAACAAAAACTCTAGTTTGTACAATTTGAAAAAAATTTTATCACCCCGAGCGTTGAACGTTCTGAGAAAAAAATAACAGAAATCAAACATTTTCTATGTAGACCAATTTCCCTTAATGACTAAAACACAACATTCAGATATAACTTAAAATGAACACTGACTGAGATTCCTGCTGATGACAGACAATTCAACATCTGTACTAAGCGGACGTCGACTTTGATCTTTAATGTTATAGATATAAAATATATTGTCAAAATTAATTAATGCTCTACATACTGTCGGTTTCAATTAAATTTTATGTTGAGTCTTCATAAAAATCGTTCGGTTTACCCGTGTTTGTAGTCACGTTTTAGATTTTAATGCATGTAATATATTTATATAACTAGTAATTACTAATTCAGGGATTTCGTTACATAAACTGCTTAAAACTATTACTAAATTCTTTTATGAATACAAAGATTTTGCTTTGAAGTTATGGAATCGGAATGTCACATCCTATAATAATACTCTTAAAATCCGTCATTTAAATACGATCCATTCAAACTTATCGATCCTTTGAATAAAATTATTCTTAAAGAATATCTTAGACTTTTGAATATGGTTTTTATCGGTTCTAACATTTTTTGTTTTTGATAAACTAAAACATAACTAGATACATATTGCTTTTCATTCATGCAAACTTATGGTCCTACATAAGGTCAATATTATATATTGTACAAAGTGTTTTTTTTTTTCAGATTGTTTATGACTTCTTTATATTATGTCCATTTGATGTGTTCTTGTGGACACTTTAGTCTGGAAGAGCATGATTTATTTACTAGTCGTTATTGGCTTTTTTTAATTTCGAGAACTCTTGCATTGGTACGTTTGAGCAATTGTCTATTTGTTAGTTATGTTTGTGCTTCACATCGATCTGATGAACCATACAATTTCATCTCGATTTACACAGTTTGTTCTTATGTTATAATGTTATGTTAAAATATTGTCTCAGATTAGGGGAGGGTGAGCACTCACACACATGTTTAACTTGGTTACATTTTTTATATGCCTGTCCTAAGTTGGAAGCCTGTGATTCAGTGGATGTCATTTGTTGCTGTCTGTTACATTTGTTTTCGGTTTATTGCTTTGTCATTAATCAGGCCTCTGATTTTTTTCTTTCGAATAGTTTCACATAACTTGTCTGGACTTTTTATAGCTGACTTAAACGGTATGGGCTTTGTCAATATAACAGAACTACAAATGGAATGTTAAGCTAGCTAGCTATAGAACTAGGTTTATCCCACCATTTTCTTCGGAAAATTCCTGTACCAAGTCAGGAATATGGCAGTTGTTTTTCACTTGTTCCATTGATTGATAGCTTTGATTTTGGCAGTTTTCATTGATTTTTTAATTTGCCTTGGAGTTCGTTATTTTAGTTATAATTTTTGCTGATTGTTGAAAGCCGTACGGTGACCTTTAAGTTTTGCTTAAATGCAAGTTATTTTGGCTCTGTTTGGTAGTTGTCTTATTGCCAATCATACCATATCTCCTTATTTCATATAGTTGAGATGTAACGACTATTTATTCATTACCGGCGGTATCTAACCGACAGCTGTGATCAGCACATTCTGACCCTATTTCTAATATTACTTACTTGGTTTTTTCATGTTTCTTTTAGTTTTAAGATATTTAGCCTTGATACATGTAGGTAAAAGTAGTTGTTTCTGCGAATGTTAAACTTGTTCAATCCTACTATATATTGTTTCTGTACCAAGTCAGATTATCCCGACCATGTGTTATTCGTTGTCGTTTTTCTTTGTTTCTTCTTTCGGAAGAGTCGTTTTTTGTGTTTGACGTAGTCTTTTTTATTGTCCGGTATAGTTTTGGTGATTTAGTTATCCTGTTTACGTAATATTTATAAATCAAAACGAATACTCTTTGCTCCTGAGAGCCAATATACATCTATTAAACCATCCGTCTTAATCTGTATTTGCATATGCTGGGAAATTAATAGCAATTTTCCTTATTGGCTTTGTGCCAGATAGTTTTGATTAATTGTATAACCATGCAAATAAGAAACACTGGATGAAGTAAGTAAGTTATTTTACGTTTCCTCTTTAAATCGAGACTCCATATTTTGTGATATGTTTTTATTGGTTTTATATGGTTAATGCACTATGATGTGATGCAAGGAGCTAAAACTGCTTTTGAATTATTAGGGGAGTATGATGGTATAAATATTGCATGACATTGTTATGAAAGGTACTAAAGAGTACTTTTAAGATACAAAATCAGAATAAAGGAATCAGGAAAAATGCGGATGATAATGCACTCTCTTCTCTTTAATTAACTTAAATGTCATATAAGTGGGAAAGGACAGTAACTTTTATTCGTATATAATACAGTTATGTCTTACAACACTGAAACGACAAATAAAGGCCATTTAGTCAATACAAAATGTGTGAAATAATACTAGAAAAAATGTTCTAAAAAATATAAAGCTGTTGACTTCGCTCATTAAATGTATATTTATGTGTATGAGCTAAATCAGTTGACTGTTCAGATCCCCACATCTGCTGTATTTCTTATTACATATTTATAATATATTTTAGAAATAGACATTTTGAACTTCGAAAACCTCACCCCCAGTTATACTT